CCCCAAAACCCCAAAACCCCAAAACCCCAAAACCCCTAATCTTATTATAAATATTGTAAAATATTAGAAACAGTAAAATAGCTAAATGAAAGATAGTGAAGAGAGAGACGATGAAAAGGACCCGATGATGGAAATGCACCCTCAGAATAGAATTGTTGACATTTGGGAGCATAACTTCTTTGAAGAAATGGACAAAATTATGGCATTGATACCAGAATATAATTATGTTGCTATGGACACAGAGTTTCCAGGATGTCCTGAAGTCCCTGCTTCTATTACAGATGATTATGGGTATCAATTAGTCAAAATAAATGTGGATCAATGTAAACTAATTCAGCTCGGTATCACATTGTTTAATAAAGATGGAAAGCCACCACCTGGACAATGCTGTTGGCAATTTAATTTCAAATTTGACAAAGATCATGAGAAATCTGCAGAAGCTTCTATAAAAGTGCTAATAGAAGCAGGTATTGAGTTTGATAAGCATCAAACAATTGGAATAGACCCATTGGATTTTTCATATTACTTCTTGTCTTCTGGATTAGTTTTAAACAAGGAAGTCAAATGGATATGCTTCCATGGAACCCACGATTTCGGCTATATGTATAGAGTCCTTGTAAATACACCTCTGCCAGATTCAGAAGACGCATTTTCCCTTGATCTGAACAAATATTTTCCAGCTCTGTATGATACGAAGTATATGAAGCATGAAATTGAAGAACTCAGAGGAGGATTACAGAAAACTGGTGAATTACTAAACCTTGAAAGAATTGGAATGCAGCATCAGGCTGGAAGTGATAGTTGGCTCACAGGACTGGTCTTTTTTGAGCTCTGTAAAACTTATCTCAATGGAAAAGACATTGACAAAGAATTCAACAATGTTATTTATGGGCTAGGCATTAGTGAAAATGATGAAGGATACATTGAACTATACACAAATAAAACAGAAGAAATTGAAAGGAGACAAAGAGAGATGGATGAGCAGAATGATTACCAGCAATTCGATCATAATTATTATGACATGGGACATCACCAGCCTGATAATTACCCTATGTATATGCAAGATGTTTACCAATCAAATCCTTATTCTGGGCAGCCAATGATGCATCATCCTTCACCAATGTCTTCGATGGGATTCAGTCCATCCATTGGTCAAAATATGCCTCAGGGTCATTATGCTATGCCACAGAATTCTTCTGATTACCAAGAAGATGATGGAAGTAAGTTAATAATCTTCTTTTCTAATTTCCTATAGATATGCAATACACAAGCCAATACCAATTGGGAAGGCATCCTCAACTCTCAGGGCAACCTGAGGATTACCATAACTATGGAAATGGTTACTAATTGGATTAGCGTCCAATATATTTCTATTACTCAAAACTATAATCAATTTGTATGTCAACACTTGGGGTTTTGGGGTTTTGGGGTTTTGGGGTTTTGGGG